AGTCTAGTGTGACCATGGCATTAATCAGTCAGTTTGATGGGCATCTTACAGAAGAGTTTAAAAAACAGTAGATGGGAAATTCCCTGCGAAAATAGCCATTTTGAGTCAGCTAATGACTTCTGGACAATTTGGAATGTTTCTGTCTGTAACATTCTTGAGATGGCATTCACCAATTTACCTTAAGATGTTTGTACACCGTAGCAACTACATGGAATTTTTGACGCTCATTTTCATTATACAGTTTGCTTTGCAACATTGCTACTACTACTGTATACTATTTAAACTGAACTGAGCTGGATGATGACATCACTGAATTCAATGATGAACTGCCTTTAACTGAAAAATTAGTGTTTGCTGTTGTCATTTTTGCATTATTGACACACTATTTTCCTAATTAATGCTGTTCAGTTGCTTTGACACAATCTGTATTGTTAAAAGCGCTATATAAATAAAGGTGACTTGACTTGACTGTTAGTTAGCAACATCAAACTTGTTAAAATATCTTGATAACCTATTGGTAATATTTTAATTTCTCAGTTGAAGATTCTGCTGGATCAGGTAGAGGAGGCTGTGGGAGATTTTGATGAGTGTATAAAGCTTCGACCAGACTCTGCGCTTGCCCAGGCCCAGAAGTGTTTTGCATTGGTAAGTACCACAGGAGGGTACTGCTTGCACATAAAAATCTTTATGCTGGTACTCTTCATGAAGATGTTAGAATGAGATGATACCTTTGCTTAATTGATGTGGTCTAATGCTATTGACTTTCAACCAAAACAACCTGATATGGGCAATTCTGAATTTTACTCATTGTAAAAGTGGTATGAACTTTATAGACTCTTTTTTTTCTCATAGTACCGACAGGCCTACACTGGAAACAACCCATCCCAGGTTCAGAAAGCCATGGATGGTTTTGAGGACGTCATTAGGAGGTTTCCAAAGTGTGCTGAGGGCTATGCTCTGTATGCACAGGTATTGCTCACCTTGATTGCATAAAACAATTTATAAAATTGTGCTTTATCATTCTTTACTTAACTTTACTTAACTATAATGTATTGTCTTTGTTTTTTATTTGATAGGCACTAACAGACCAGCAACAGTTTGGTAATGCAGATGAAATGTATGACAAATGTATTGAACTAGAGCCTGATAACGCCACAACATATGTCCACAAAGGGTTAGTTTGATCTATTTTGTACTTATAGGATCCTGTTAATCTATTCATGTTCAACAAAGTAAATACTAATCAGTTGTGTTTGTTTTGCAGTCTGTTGCAGCTTCAGTGGAAACAGGATCTGGAAATGGGCCTTGAACTGATTAGCAAAGCCATCGAAATTGACAATAAATGTGACTTTGCTTACGAAACTATGGGAACCATTGAAGTCCAAAGGTTTGTGATGTTACATTGCTTCCCCTTTTTTCTGTACTTTTTTCTATTCCTAATTTGTAAGTCATTGATTATATTGAAACGTTTGTTTGGCTATTACAACCTTATGGTTTTAGTTTCGGACAAAACTTAAAAAAAAACAAACATTATCAATTTTTTCCACAGGGGCAATCTGGACAAGGCTATAGACATGTTCAACAAGGCCATCAACTTGGCCAAGTCAGAGATGGAGATGGCCCATCTCTACTCCCTCTGTGATGCTGCTTATGCCCAGACAGAGGTGGCCAAGAAGTATGGGCTCAAGCCTCCCACGCTATAACTCTTGCCTCTTTTCACCACTCTCTACTGCCAGGCCACAGTACACATCCCATAACCCTTTTTTTTGTTTTATACTTCATTATAAAGATGATCATTATCAATGAAAAGGATGGCCCAACAAGTTCTGCTACCACGTTTACACCAGTTTTTATTTGAGTACTGGAAGGTGGCACAGAAAATGGTGGAGGAGCAGCAAAAGTAAACAAGATAAAGCAGAAAGCAAGCAAGTGAAAAAGACTGATGGCTGCTTTGTTTGATATCAAATCATCGGTGTCATAGCTCACATCCTCCCTAACTGAGTACGGCTTAGGCTATCTTGCAACTTGCAACAGTACTCATTTGTTCATGTTCAGCCTCCCCTGCCAATTGGTGTGACAAATGTGAATCTTTTTGATTATATAATCTTAATTTAAGATTCAGTCAGTTTATTCTATTATACCAGTGTATACCATCAGCAGGACTGCTTTATGGATTCGTGGTTTGATGCTGTAATGTGCGTAAGTTTTGTCCTTTCACTGTCACATCCTAGCAACCTTACTTTGTTGCATGGGAAGTGAAGGATTAAAGTTTTAGTTGAGATGTATTTGTGTTATAAATCTGTTCTTGATGTGTCACTGCTATGATGACACTGTGTTCATGAGAAGGGGATTTATATTGAGGTTAAATACGAAATTTGGCCATACGGTTATTCATTTTTGTGCGTTTTATTTTTAACTTGAGTTTTGGGATTTATTTATTTTTTTACATTCTGTGCAGCATTTAATAATACGTCAATACAAATTATAAAGTAATATCCTATAGAAGATATTCAGTCTACTTAAAAAAAAAAAATCTAAATCAAGACAAATTGCAGATTATTTAATGTTGTAAAATATAATATAAACTAACTTAAAACCCTCTTAGCCCTGTTCAAGAATTTTGCTGTGAAATCACCTTGCCCATTTCTTCAAACAGAGGCACTAAATTGTTAAATATTTAAAACTTAGCTGTGAGAAAAGTAATGTTTCATTTTTGTGCAAAAACATGAATGAACCTAGAAAAAATATGAATCACCAAAATTACATTCCTCTCATTTTATCTTTCATACTGCACATATCTGATTTTATTTTAGTTTAGTTTCTCTGTGAAATAATGTCATTGAGGAATATTTTTGAAGAATGGCTCCCTTCTTTATGAATCTAAATGCAAGAAAATAAAAGAAACACCTTACATTTAGCAACTAAGTTCTTACTCCCTGGTCTTTTGTTCAGATTTTGCATTCATTTGTAAAGACTTAGAAAGAGATATTGAAATACTTTTAAAGTCGAAATGGCATGCCCTTAAATACATAATGTATATTTGTGTCCATGGAGGACAATTCTATAGAATCCTAAATAGTTGTATGTATATATATATATATATATATATATATACACACACACACAAATTAATTGTTTGGTAGTAGTTTAAATCCCAGTTTTAATTTCATTCAAGAATGTTGGTGTTCATGATCATTTTTAATAAAACAGTAAGAACATTTTTGATTACTGCAGCCATGACTTAATTGTCTACATTCATTCACCCATCCATCTTTTTAAAGAAAGTTCATTTTATATTATTTACCTACTTAGTTTGTTTTATGACTTCAACATCAAAAACAACAAAGTGGCATTACTGTCTTTCAAATGTGGATTGAGATATTTTCTCTTATTGTGGCTCTATTTTTAAGTCATTGTTGATTTAATGTGTAATACGGTACAGGGCTTGGCTTTAACCTGACCAGAAATAATAGTTTACAAAAAATAGGATGTGATCATTTCCCTATGCATGTATACATTGATTATTAGGCATTGCCTAATATGCAAATGTTTGCTTATTTCTTTTTCCAGCCTGATCAATTAGTATTAATGGATTCACAGACCAATTTCATTCAAGACTGTTGCATGTTTGAAGATCATAAATGATTGTTTAAAATACACTTTACAATGCAAGCTAAGTGGCACCACCTAAAGGTTAAAAATTAATTTGTTGTGCTTGATCTGTTGAAAGTAGCTGTGCAAAATAATAATAATAAATAAATAAATGGCTCAAGTAAATATAAATAAATACAATAATAGGGGAAAATGTGATGTTGGTTAAGTTTACCTGTGTATTAATGTATGATAATATAAAATAAAGAAATGAGTTGCTCATAATTCATAAAGCCAGCTTGATTTTGTGTTTTGATGCAGATTAGTTTTATCTGTAATTATTTTTATTTAATGCTTATTAAATGTGGTGGTCACCATATGCCAAGGAACAGCAGATGAAAACTATCTATTTTGGTTTAAACTGGCACATTTATACATCCCCAATATTAATGTGTATTGTTCTTAATAAAAGTATATTTTTACATTAGATTTTTTATTATACATCTTAGTTGAAGTCAGTGCTTCAATTTCTGAATAATTCTGAAAGTAAAAATGACAATGACAAGAGGTGCTGACCAATACTTCTGTGCTCCGTTGGAATGGGCTCTTCAAAGCTCTTTTCCCAAATGTTGGGGTGGTGGCACAAGTGCTTCCTGCAAGATCCTGTGAGGATGGCATGCCTCCACTTTTTGCCAGGGTAAAAAAATCAAATGAGATCAGTAAATGAGCATTTGTATGCAATCATTGACATCAAAAGCATACAATGGTTGTCGACTTAGATGTTCCTCAGACAACAGGCTGTTTAGTTTTGTTTTATTGATATTTTTGGCTAAATAAATAAACCTCACCAATCCTTTCAAAAACCTTTCAAAGGTGTATCTGTATGATGAAGCAGCTACAGATGACACAAGAAGTGGGCAAAAAGTGAGATTAGCAATGTTTGTCTTTTTCCCCCTTTTATTAAAACAAAGTTCACAACAGTATACAAAAATATACATTAAAACATATAAAAATATATGTACAATATCTATTTATACACAAAAATGATATTTAGCCTATTAATTAAAAATGATTTTCATCGAAAGGTCTTCTGTTTTATTTATTCAATAACACATTACAAATTGCATACATGTTATTGTATGACGACATCAAGGGGATGCGTCTTTACAGAAAAATGATTAACAATATATCCCAAATCAATTCGGCTGCCTAGTGGACTAGGCTACATGCACAACAAATAAATGTGATTCATTTTGGAGGCAGACAACAAGTGTCATGCCATGTCGAAACTAAGCGGGTCTAGAACGCTCTTCTTTATTCATCAAAGCTAAAATCTCGCGCTTGTAGAATCCACAGTTTTGCTGATTATCGCGTTCTACGTCGCGTCTAGCGCGTGCGTGTGGTCGTAGCGACAAGACGCTGCACGCTGGTATTTACGACACAGTTTGACGTGGACCGTCACCACAGCAATGGCGGATGCTGTAGGGGAAGTGCTTCAAGGCAGCTGGTAAGAAAACGCCATTGATCAGTTTTACCGTAGAACTATTCACGGTTCCCAGTCTGATATTGTCACTTGGAACTTGAAGTCCGTTGAAGAAAGACTAATGATGTTGTAGCTTTTTCACGACAGCCGTTTGAGTGGCAGGTAGATAGCGATGCTGAGCTAAACAGCTAACTTACGTTAGTCTGGCTAGCCAAAGCAGCGAGTGTATTGTTTGTTGGTTTCCCCAGACCTGCTGAGAAGCAGTTTGACATTGTTATTTTATTCATATTGTGATCTGTATAATACGTATTTTAAGCGATTAAACGCCATTGTTGTGTTCTCGTAGAAGTTGGTTGTGTTAAAACCGCTTTTGCTAGGTGTTAGCGTAGCTTTGCACACAATAGAGTTGTGATGATTATGATTAGTTTTCGTTACCACTTCACTATGGCCAAGGTTTTTTCCCCCTCTAATATGGTAACTATGGTTTTAGCTAACGCTTCTCGGCTCTTGTTAAAAGTGTGAATTCTCCTGTTTAGCTGTGTAAGACATCTTTAATAGATACGGTATCTTTCTGAAACTCTGTGATCCCTTAACTGTTTAGACTGAAACAGCTTTATGGACTTTTGTGACTCTTGTTCTCTTGTCCTCTGTGGTTGAAAATAATGACAAAGATCATAGTTTCAATTATCTACTGAAATAACAAAATGGAATGGTGGATTACTTTACTGTTTTTTTCTTCTTTTGATTCTTTTTATGACTCTTCCAGTTATGTCTTGAACAGGGAAGTTGAATCATGAACATCAGACTCCTCCTGGGTTATAAATGTTTGAGGAATAGATGAGTGTTTTCTTTTGACAGCCCAAGTAAGCTGACAACTTATTGATGTCAACATTTTTTGTGCTTTATTGTTTGTGTAGACATGTTTTGGCATAGAACAGAACTGTTCAGAAAACCATTTTGAATCTTGTAGTAATACACAGCCATGTATTTGTTACCATTTGTAAATTGTCATATACCTGAAGATCATTCTTTCTCCTCATAATCCACACACCATTATAGTTTTCTAAACACTTTTGCTTACCATTCTACAGAGGAAGTACAAAATGACAATTAGTTTGGCAAAAATTGTTTTAATCCTAGGTTTTAATTTTAGTATTTAGCAGTTCCTCCACAATAGGAAAAGGTTCACACATAGACATCACACACACACTTGTGCATTTTATCCAATTCCTATTCTGCTGAATATGGACCTTCCTGTTTTCACAGACAGTGATCAGGAAGATAAATTATTCTGTAGGAGAGATAAATGGAGCAATCTATAATATCAAAGTCCATTATTTACCACAGATAGCGCTTCACGTGTTCTTTAGCTCCTGTTTCAAAAAGAGAGAATTTGTTGGCTCTTAAGTTTCCTGTCTCATTATTAAGGCATTCAGCCAAAATATCTGGATGTGGCAACTTGCGTTTTCTTACCCCAGTTTGGAATGCTTGGTATGGCTGGTTGTTAGACAGCTTTCGTCTGCTAGTATGTCAGGACTTAGAATGACTGTGGAACCCATCATCTAATCATCAATAATCGGCTTAATCTGTACTACAATTACACCTTTACACCATGTTTGGGATTCTTGATGAATTTAACCAATTCCATTGATGTAAATAAATGTCACTACGGCAGTTATATAACAGATGAGGTTTTGTAGAAATTGCGAGAATGTATTGGAATAATCAGTTGAATGGGTTGAAAATTATACCAAAAAAGAAAGAGAGAAAAACAGTTTGTCATTAAGTACTAAATTGCAGGTACACATGAAGTGTTTTTGTAATTGTGAATTATTGCTAGGGCTGGGTATCGAGTTCGATACTTTTTAGGCACCGACCGAATTGCCTCGATACCATCGAGTATCGAAAAACGTCTGGTCGTTCGGTACCAAATTTCGATACCTAAGGGGTTAATCTCATCAGCGTCAGTGAGCCTTGTTAAAATTGATTTAATAAAATTGGTATCGAAAAAAGTATCGCTCAGGAACCGGTATCGAAGTCAAGGTATCGGTATCGATATCGGAAAATTTTGAACGATACCCAGCCCTAATTATTGCTCTGAAAAAAAGTTTATTTTGTAATATGTCGTGTGTGTTTTAGCAGCAGCTGTTGTACGCATGAAAGAATTGCAGCATTTGCGGTGTTTTTTTTTTTTAATGAGTGATGTGCATATTCTGATTCCAGCACAGTTGTTTTCAGCAGTAGCGTGTGTGTCTGAGAGTGTGGCTTTGTCTGAGATTTTTTTTCATGGCAGTATAGAAGATGGTAAAGAGGCCTCGGAGGATTTCTTTTTGTTTTACCTCAGCTAAAAATGCAATTTAGTGCAAGTCGAGTGCTTTCTTTTTGTCTCCTGGAAATCCCCATGCCAAGTTCTTAGCTTGTTTTGCTAGCGTCTAGAGTTTGTAGTACCTTTGAGAGAAACGCTAGAGGAGAGTGGAGTGCTGAAGAGCAATGCAGAGAGCCCAAGTGTCTGATCATGCTGTGCCCTTTTGACTGAATATTGCACTTGGTGGAAGTCTTTTTTTCTCCAGAATTCTCAATAATGTTTGTTCATAGCATAGCCATGTCAGCTGGTGTGCACAAACACGCCACTTGTTGTGGCAATATTAATTTCTGTAGCATATTGCACATAAATGATTCATGACAGAGGCTGTTCACACTGGATGCTTTTTGCTATCTGCCTAAGCTATTTTTTTTAGTTGTTTACAAAATGCATCAGACAGATTGTTGTTATTCTTATTTAATACATTTTTTTCAGCATCTATGACAACCAGTTGGCATGCAAACAGTGATCTGGCAGAGAATGAATTTGCATATATGTCGCCAAGTAGAGTGCAAGTCTGAGGGAAACAACGCTTCTGTTATGAATATTATTCAATATTTTAATTTGAATGTCGGATTGAAGTGAACGCTGTTATTAGAGTAGTTAATTGTTAGCATAAGCGCGGCTAACGCTAATATAATGAGCATTAGAATGGAAGTTTCTTTATTAACTATTTAATGCTCCTATAACTTTTATTAGGGTAAAAAAAAGGAGGACATGATGATATTTACTATTTTTACACACCAGAGTAAAAATGAATTGTGAATCTAAAATATGCGTGTTAGAGAATGTACAAATGGTTAACATTGTGTCATATCAGTCAGAAAAGCAGTTCTGGGCTTTTTTTTTTAAACAATAACAACTTAGTTGTTATTCTTGGCTGAATAACTCTAGAAGGTTTTCAAAAGCCCTTTAAAATTAAATATGTACACAGTTTGGATTAAATGAAAGTATAGTAAAAATGTTTAATTAGCATTTATTTGTGATTTGCTTTGGTACCGAAATTGGTACGGAGAACCGTGGATTTTCACTGGTATTGGTACCGAATACTGACATTTTGGTACCGTGACAACACTAATTGCAATCTAAAAACAAAAACTTTTAAAGTAGAAGTTAAATTCACTAAACTAAAAATGAAAATAAATGAGAACAAAAGCACAGAGTTGTTTTAGGCTATTTTGATTACCCCATTACAGTCACTTTATAGTCAGTGCTATCATAAAAATAGGCTTACTTTCTACAAATATTTCAGCGAAATGTATATTTTAGTCAGAATTATTGCGCACCTGTTTAATTGAGTTCTGTCTGTTTGGTGCGCATGCGCGCTCGTTCAAGTCTGTGAAGTAGGGCTGTGCGATTCATCGAAATCGTCATAAAATCGCGATTTGAGCATGCACGATTTCTAATGAGTTTAAACGTGAATATGTCTATGAAAGATTGTATTACTGTAATGTGATAAAAGAGAATCACAATGCTGAAAAAGCATTTTCAGAAACAACGTTTGGATTTGAAATCAAAATAATGATTTGAGTGGCTCTATGACCAATGCATGGCAAAAAAAAATCCCTGGACGCAGGATTTTTTTTCCCCTGCCATATGTCTATTCTAGAGACATTTTGTTACACCTTTACTTAGTGATTATTTTGCCTTATGTCTGTTCTAGAGACATGTTACAGCTTCTTGATAAAGCTCTAATTGGTTTTCTTAAAAGGAATAATCACATCTGTTTTCTTTTTAATTTTAACAGTAAACCTCTGTTGTGCAGCACTTTGTTTGCCAAAAAATAAAAGGGTTTAATTTTCATTTGATTAGGATAAATTAAATTAATGTTTTATGCCTTCATCTGATTACCAGAAAAATTAAGAACATTTTATAGGGCCCTATTATTGTTTAAAAAAGGACCCATACAAAAAAAAGTATAGGTTTAAAATACAGGCATGTGGTTCTTAATTTCTTTTTATTAATTCACCATTTGTAAACTGATGTTTACTGTTCATTTTTTAGAAATATCAATAGCATTTGTATTAAAACTATATTCACTGAATGTAATCAAAAAAATCAAAAATCGCATCGAATCGAGAGCTTGCGAATCTAAATCGAATCGAATCGGGACATCTGAATCGATACCCAGCCCTACTAATAAGTGGATAAATGTATATTATTGGATCAAAGTGATGTGCATGGACTAGGAGACTATAAGGAGTGAATAAAGATTTTCAATTTCAAAGTGTTTAACAACCTAATGTTATGTTTATGTTCACCTATTCTGCAAAAAGGCCCCTTTTAGCTGTTATGTTGTGTTTAATTTAATGTTCAACAGGTTTGTTTTTGTAAAATTTAACCTGATAATTGTCATTTTCTTCAATCATCTAATTATTAGAAATCCTAAAATACGTTGCATGTAAAAAGTGTTTGTTTCAGCCAGTTAAGGGTGGGTACATTGTGTGCACATGATCAGGATGGTACCACCTCCTCCTCATTTTGAGCCAGGAAAAACCCTGGTAAATACATTTATAATGTGATAAAAGATTGACATTATAAATGAAAAATAAATACTGTCTTTGTTGAACTCTTTATTCATCAAAAATCCTGAAAACTATGTTTCATGGTTTCCTCAAAAATATTAAGCAGCACAACTGTTTTCAATATTGATAATAATAGAAAAAGAAATGTTGCTTGAGCGCCAAATCGGTATTGTCGCACTGAAGTTTTAAATAATAGCTGCTGAAAATTCAGCTTTGCCAAGACAGGAATAAATTACATTTAACATTAAAAATAAATAAATACATTTATTTTAATAATTTCACTATTACTGTTTTTACAGTATTTTGATTAAATACACAGCCTTGGTGATCATAAAATGCTTTTTTAAAATATAGAATAATTTATACATTTTAAATACTGTTGTTAGTACCATTCTGTTTCATAGTTCTGTGTAGGTAAAGCAAACACATTTGCATTTACATTTGCATGAGGTCTGAATCTGTCCTTGACTTCTTCTAAATTAAGTTTGAGTGATTTGATCACTGTGTCGTGTGCATTTTATTGTGTGTGTGTTTTCTGAAGGAATCATGATCTGGCTGATGCTCTTGACTCGGCAGAATGTGATCTGGACACTGACCAGGATTGTGTTATCCAGGTCCGAAACCTACCCCCACAACAGCGGGCCAAGTTATGGATGGTAGGTATATATATGTGTGTGTGTGTGTGTCTGAAGACAAAATGGCTTGACTAATCAGCCTGTGTAGCATCAAGTGGAAATACTGACTGTCTGGATTATGAAAAAGCTTTGAAAAGATTGTACATGCTGTGTGTTGATGAGAGAGACAGAAAAAGTGTTCATGCTTATGGCAGAATACATAAGAGATCCACGCAGAGCTTTGTTTTAAAGGGTTTCCATTAGAATCAGTGGGTCCCAAAGGGCATTAGAGAGCCTCTGCATCGATCAGATGGCCATTAACGAAACTGTAGTAGGCTTAAAGTGTAGGACCCTTTAAACGCACCCCATGGGTAGGGCTGTGCGATTAATCGAAATCGAATCGAAATCGCGATTTGAGACGTTGCGAATGGGTGTACACCCCATTAGCCAGGGCCAGAGTGGGACTCGTTTTCCGCCCTGGAGTTTCATGCCTTTAGTTCACGACTGACTATATTAAAATAATGTAATTAAAACCTCAGTATATAAGTATGCGATAGTGCACTGTTCTCTACAGCCTTGTAATTAATTGTTTTAAAAACATAATGGGTCACTAGTAACACTTGGGCATAAAAAGCTGTTATATTGCAACTAATGTGATCATGTTTGCTTATTCACACAACAGTCACTGTTGTGCACATTGAGCATAAACAGCTTAAAGGCTTCTTACCAGTGGCCATCCTTAAAGGTGGGTCGATTTTTCAAAAACGCTTTAGAAAACTGATTCGGGCCGACTAGCAAAACAAACTTGAAACCAATCAGCAGTAAGGGGCGTGTCTACTCATGATGTGGAGGAGAGAACGTTCAGTGAACAGGACGGACATTAGCTGAGCGACAGAAAGATAGCGATGGCAGATAAAAAACAAAAGAGGAAAACGTCTGTGAATCAAAAGAAGGCTTAAGGCTATAAGGCAAGACGGTAGGACCCGTGTAAATATTGCATCAGCTTTCCAGCGCTGGAGAGAACTCAAGGAGCGGAAGGCCTGCGATCGGACGCCGAGGTTGCTTTTTCTTCTCGATAGGTGAGTAAAACACCGTGTCTGCGCCGCAACAGCTAAAGTCTGTCTAGTACACTGGACGCGACAAAGCGCCTGTTGAAAATCATTTGAAATTTGTGTCAGTACGTCATGAATAGAACGCAGCAGCAGTATTCTGTCAGGGATGTGTCGTGCCGCACCACATCCAGTGTAGACCATAGATATATCTTTGGTGTAGACAGCATCACTGATTATAATGAGTTCCTCGCGTCCGGTGTAGACACAGTGTAACATTGGTTTTGCTTTGTTTCACAGATCTAATCGTTGCCTGGGTTGCGTACTGTGTGGGGCGGAGCTATCAAAATAGGGGCGAGACCCTTTTGGGGTAGGGGCGTGTTTGTTTTGGTGATTTCAAATGTCAACGTTGGCTACCAGAAATCGCTTACCCCACCTTTAACAAAACTTGACATCGAGCACAGTTTTATCACATGCAAAATGTTTCAATACAAAAATTTCATTCAAATGGAATTTGTGCAGTTTTTCAAACCTTTAACCCATGGGAGAAAATCAACCCATGGCAACAGTTTTAAGAGCAGCCATTTCCAAGAAAAAAAAAAGCGGACTTGACAACCCTGCATCCACCTCAGAATGTGGAGTCAGGAGTCAGATTTCACTTTTCAGAGCAATGACTGACAAGATCATGCTGGTAGATTTGCTGCTCAACAGATCCTGAGCTCATTGACAAAATCTGATCTCGTTAGATGTGCTTACTTTACACAGAGCATGTGTGATCGCGTAAACGAAAGTGAACGGAGCGCTCATTCAAAAGAGATTTCAGTACCCCGCATATTGATAGCGGTTCACTAATGCGCGAAAATTCTATGCAATGTTAGAATGTTTGCGGGAGCGGACACAAAAATCACGGGAGTGGGTGATAATGGTCTGAAATTCAGCGGGAGCGGGATTAATAAAACAGTCCCGCGAAGGGCTTTAATACAAAAACGCACACAATGAATGGCGACTGTAGAAAGCAAAAACCGAATCCTGGACATTTTGGGCGACTTGGAAATCCCGGCCGGACGCATTTTTTTTTTTTAGTTCCAAAAAGAGAATATGTACGTGAAAATAATGAATAAAAAGAGTGACAGCATCCATATTTCAACCCAGTGGCATGACAACACTGGCCATGACGGCCAAAAAAACAGATCGGCCCACCGGGAATTCTCCCGTTGCTCCCGATTAGCCAATCCGGGCCTGATATCATACACTGTACTTCAGGAGCCTTGTTGAATTTCAGTTGCCTTTTTTGTGCACTTTTTCCCCCCCGAAGTTTTAGTTCTGGCTCTGATGTTGAACATGTGTGTGTTGACAGATTGCTTTGAACGTGTCTGGTAAAGGAGATAGTCTGTCCTCATGGGATGGGGCTTTGGACCTAGCAGAACAGACGCTCATTCACAACCGCAGTCAGCAGATCATTGGTGAATAACCTTTGCACACCTCACCTCATTTTCATTGTGCCATTTATGTGTAGTAATGCACTACACATTTATAGTATATCAGTTCTATGAATGTGGAGTCAGACACTCTACATTATAAGCCTACTGGTTATTCAAAACGTCCTGTGACATATTGTGCATTCCACACACATTTGCCTGTTGGCAGTACTTTCTGTTTGTTTGTGTACTTCTGCAGTTTAAAACACTTTTACTGCAGTGATGACTTTAATTGTAAAGTATGTCTTGAAACTAAACTAGCAAATAATTTTTGTATTAGGAGTACCTTCCTTATCTGTTAGACGTATTATTTTGATGTAATTTGTAATGCATTTAGGCATTTTTATTTAGAAGGTTCTTTGGAGAATTTGTTTAGTAATGTGTTTAAAGTCTGCATGAAATTTCATCTGTTTTGTTAGGCATGTTATAGATATGATTGTGAATTATTCATTCACGTATATTTATTTTCTTTTTTTGGCCTCATAATGTTTGATTAAAATATCAGAAGTCAGTCTTCCAGGGAAAACTAACTACAGACTTCTGGTGACATGCTGGATTTCTCCAGTCATGTAATCTTAAACCCACCCCTTCACAATCAACTACAAACTCTCATTCATTTTTGAGTGCAATGCCCACATCTCAAAATCCAGTCTTTTTTTTTTATGATCGAATATGTCACAATACAGAATAAAAGATCTGCCGCTATTTCAGTTTCATCATGACTTATTTTATTTTGTTTATTTTCTGAATAAATAATATTCATTTAGTCATTTAATTAGTTAGTTATTCCAGCTCAAATGCAAACTGTCAACTTTCATTTTACAGTAAAGTTTGTACACTTAAAGAAATAAATAATGCTTTTGACAAATTTCAATTCAGATGAAATTAAGCCTCATACTAGTATCTAAGAAAAAATTGGTTCTATCACATGATCATTCATGTCTTGCATTTTGACCAAGTTAATAAACCAACAGTACTAGCTTGGTAGCTCATCTTGGAAGGATGCATTCCCCAGTCATGATAAATCCCATGCATTATTTTATGTTCTGTGCGCAAACCCGTTATCTCAAACAATGTACTTGGGAAAAATATGAATATGAAATAGTGGGATTTCTTATATTGTGATGCTAATTTTTTCTTTGCATATAGATGAGCTAGGGATACCAGTGGAGGAAGGGCGGGACCTTGTATTAGATGTGGAGTCAGTGATCACCTTTTACTGCAAGTCCAGAAATGTCACCTTCACTCCAGATCTTAGTTGGCCACACATCCTCAAACCACTCCTGGGCTTACAGCTATCCTGCAAAGACCTCTACAACTGCTTCTACGCCATCATGAATAAATACATCCCACGGTATGGGTGTTCATATGTCTGTTTGTGTTTTTCTCAATTTTTAAATTGAAACAATTAGGTTGGCAGAGGGGGGACATGCAGGCTTTATATATCAGTTTTCTTGATTTAGGGTCATATTATTTGCCCTTTGCAGAGACTGTGTTGTGAAGGGAAGACCATTTCACCTCTTCAGACTCCTGCTGCAGTACCATGAGCCTGAACTCTGCTCATTCCTGGACACAAAAAAGATCACTCCTGATTCCTACGCCATCAACTGGGTCAGTCGATCTCTGGCCTGTTTGAATATTTTATCAAGTATTTGGCTTAGTACAGGGGTGTCCAATCCTGCTCCAACTTGCCACAACACATCTTCCTGGAAGTTTCTAGTACAAGTTTCAAGACCTCGATTAGCTGGTTCAGGTGTGTTTAATTGAGGTTGAAGCATTATGATAGACCTATAGAAAAAAATATTTGAATCTTTTTCTTTTCTAAGAATGGCTTAACTTGAAGTGCTGTAAAAAAAAATTTGGAAAAAAATATTTTTTTAAGGTACTTTATGATATGTTGCCCTGGCGACAGGCAGCGACAAAAGTCACTGCTAGTGTGAATGCAGCTTTAGTCTGCAGGACAGTGGCCATCCAGGAGCAGGATTGGGCACCCCTGGGTTAGCATATGTAATTTATACTTAATTTATACTTACTATGGATCAATTCTGAAAATGTTTTATTGGTCATATTCCTAAAATGAGTCAAATTAATTGATTTGAGCTGTATGCTTATTTTATTTTATTTTTTTAATTCTTGTATCCTGCAGATGGTCAGTCTTTTCTCTAGCAACTGTCTCCCTGAGGTGTCACAGGCCTTGTGGGATATTTATCTCCAACAAGCCGACCCTTTTCTCATTTTCTTCCTCATGCTCATCATCCTTGTCAATGCCAAGTATGTGACAGTTCAGACTGTTCAGTGCACTCAATTAATTAATGAACTGCACCAAGGCAGTTTTTCTCTCCTGTTTATGAGATCAAGCAAAAATATGTTTTTCTTTGTTTTCTGATGTCCAGAGACGGCATCCTTACCCAAGAAGTAGACAGCAAAGAGGACATCATCAGTAAATTCTTTCATGCATAATTTATTAAAACAATACATTACAAAAATATTTTGCATTGTCCTGTGTGACCAAAGTGTACAGCTATATATTTTTTATTTTTTTCCCAGAAATGCTGGAGCAGTCACCAGCATTACTAGAGGCAGAGGACATTGAAGACTTGTTCTCTTTAGCACAGTATTACAACAGCAAGACGCCTCTATCTCTCAGAAAGGTAAGCGTTATCTGAGTTCTTTGGGCTGGGTATTAACAACTTCTCAATATGATGCACATCACAATTAGGCCTGTCGCGATCATTTAATAACCGTCTAATCGCGATTATTTGATCTAACCTAAACTTGTTTCAGACAACCAGAAATTATCAATTATTGTGCTTTTTATACGAGACAAGGGGGAGTCATACACCAAAAGAAACAGAAGAGCACCAGTTTGCTTTTCATGCACTGTATAGTATAGCCTACACAGGGCTCCAGACGCATTCTTCCCACTGGTCGCTCTTTTGCAACTAACTTTCTCAGCTGGTCGCACGAGCACATGATTTGGTCGCAATATTTATTTTAATTTTTTTTGCGCTACAACATGGGATTATTCAATGCATGCTGATGAACTTTTATCATGGTGTTGGATCGGTATTGGCCAATTCTTAGAATTTGGAATACTCTGTGTAATCTTACACTGCAAAATAATAACTCAAAAAGATTAAAAGATAACATCATAATTATTTACTGAACCCTTAAATTAATCAATTATATAATGAAAGCCATAAAAACAGACAATTAATAGTGATAATCGGCATAATCGCCAAAGCCCTAAAACAGACAATCGCAATAACAGTGACTATTTTTAGACAATTAATCGTCAGCCAAATTTCATAATCGTGACAGCCCTAATCACAATAGATGCATCAAGATAGAATTGTGGTGTATCACAATAACAGTTTAGCATGTATCACATGCTTGTTTGTCTGGTTTGTGTGTGCAGGAGAACCATAATCTGTTTGGCAGCAGTCTGGTGGCTCTGAAGGAAGAAGACATGGACCTAAGTCAGGCTCTCTGTTTGCCTGTATCGGTCCCTGAAATCCTGCAAGCCAACCAGCTACAACCTGTGAGTCCCAACTCTAAGATAACTGTCGAAGACATCTCTACATCATCTTTCATATTTATTAATGTTGATGATCAACATAAAAGGGGTAGTTCACCCAGATTTTTTTTTCAGCTTTTACTCGCCCTCAAAATCTTTGTAAACCCATAAGACTGTTCATGTTCAGTACTAGTGGATATATTTTTAATATTCTCTCGCTGTTCTTCAAAAAGCATGGTAAAACTAATCCATATGAATCAAATGGTTTAATCCAAGTCTTCTGAAGAGACTAGATTGTTTTATAGCACATTTACCATATTTCAAGTAAAGCAAGCACTTTTGAGCTTCTGTCCACCATATTTTATGTGCTCACTATATGTAAATTGCAAAAAAATCTACTTTGAAATTACACTGTATCTGACCCTGAAAATTCAGTCTTTCAAGTATATTGTTTTCGGCCAGCTGTGCACAAGAATCCACAACAGATGAGTATCAACATGTGATGCCCTTTTTTCCAGTGATGTTATTCCTATTTAAATGTATGTTTTTGTGATTTGTATGCTGTCTAGGAGGGCGTGAGGTTTTTTGTAGTTGACTGCCGTCCTGCTGAGCAGTACAATGCTGGTCACCTCTCCACTGCCTTTCACCTGGACTCTGACCTGGTAAGAATTTTTGCAAGCAGAGAAGGCAGCATTTTGTTCATAATAGTTCTAATATGAATTGGCTTTCCAATTCATTGATTAGAGATTGATTTCCTTTGGATCCACTTTGTTTCCTCAAAAATGCAAAGTTTAATATGTGTAGCTGCCCCACAGAGTAATTACACACAGCTCTATGCACCTCTGTGTCCTTAACCAGCAAAACCGTAATAATATGGTATTGTTTCACAGATGCTTCATAATCCTTCTGAGTTTGCCCTGTCAGTGAAGTCTCTTCTGGAGGCACAGAAGCAGTCTCTGGAGTCAGGCTCTGTGGCAAGCGGAGAGCATCTGTGCTTCATGGGTAGTGGACGTGAAGAAGAGGACATGTATATGAACATGGTGCTTGCCCACTTTCTACAGGTCAGAACTGCATCTGCTGCTGCGTATGGAATTGTGTAAATTATTATTGAAAGCATTTCACAACTGTTAAGAATATAAGTGGTGAATCAAAATATATATTTTTTTGGTCTAGAAAAATAAAGAGTTTGTGAGCATAGCAAAAGGTGGATTTATGGGTAAGTTCTGTTTTTAGTTAAATTAATAAAAAAATTTAAGCATCTGTGCATTGCATGTTCTGGGCAAATTTGGGACAAAATGTAATTAATAAATCAAATATAAATAAACAATTAAATAAATGTAATGTGTTCAGATACAAAAAAAATAAATTTGATCAGCAAGTTTACATGGTGACAGCAGCAGTTACATTGTGCAGATGAGACTGACTCTATATAATTTTTTTTCTTTAATGCTCAGCATTGCAGCAGCACCTAGCAGATATTAATGTTGAAGGGCCGGATAATGTTTATGTTCACTGGATTGTGAGCACCTCAGGATCCCACAGCAGCCTCAGCTCAGCTGACGTGAGTTTTGAGTGTGTGTGTGATGCACTTTACAATGCTGTGTTACTCGGCATGTAGCCTTCAAACCATGCTTTTGTGGCATTGTTCTTATCAAATGTTCTCAATACATTTTCAACAGGGTTTCTGTGCGTCTTAAAAAGTCTTAATTTGTCCTTCCACAATTTAAGGCCTTAAATCAGAGCAGAAAGTCTTGAATTCAAAATGTTGCATCATTGCAAAAAAATCTTGAAAAACGGAGCAAAATTAATTCAGTTTATGCCTAAGTCTTTTAATGGGGCATATGAAAACGTCCCTTTTATGTAAGTTGATTTTTCTGAGCATACTGGCTGAATGATTGATTTTCCTGTAAAATAAATTAAAAAGAAATTGAAATCAGTTGGAAGTTGTATTTTCAAACATTGGTCTTCCGTAGACATTTACATTTAGAGAACATATTGATGTTAGGGGTGTGCGATATTGTGATTAAAAAATAATAATAAAAATTTTATCGTGGATGATTAGATTAATGTCTCCACAATCTGCTTTTGAAGAAATATCTTTGTATCGTATTACAGCACACATTCTATCAGTTGCAGTTCTGGCACCTCCATCTCAATATCAGGGGCGGATTTAGTGAATTGGGGGCCCTAGACAAAATATAGGAATGGGGCCCTGTACATTTGCACACATTTTCCTAGATCAACCTTGAGGTTCCTTTTTTGTTGTGATGCTTGCTGCTGCACAATGGTGCCCCATAGTTGTGTCCAATGTTTCTACATTTTTCATGTACATGTTATAATGGCTTTCTTTCATGTTGTAGACCACGAAATAGCAACTGATTTACAGTTGAGATACAGGCTTTCACAAAAACAAAATAAATTATAAAATGATAAACCTCACAATTGAGCATTTAAACCAGGGGTGAGTCAGAAGTATAAATGATCATATTAATTTAAAATGGGGTTATGTGGGTGGATTTTCGCATTGATCTGAACAAAAACTACAGACTGGATAATTGAAAATGAACATTCATTCTCTGCCAGTAGGAGGCGCTTTTGGAACGTCAGAAATATAGAATGAGAAAAGTGTGAAAAAATATAGCCTATATTGAGGAGGAAAGTCCACTGATGAGTTACCAGCGTAAGCCTGTGTGCAAAGGCTGTCTAATTCTAAACTTTAAAATACATTTATTTTTAGTTATTTTAACTACAAATTTAAATAAAACTGAAAAAATAATGAAAAGGCAATTATAAATTTACACACCTAAAATACATATATCAAGAGCATGCTCACAGATGAGAACAAAACAGCGTTGGATGAAGTGGATTAAAGCCCTGCACGGGTCTCAAATATAGGCACTAGCCCGTCTTTTTTCCCCTTTTCCC